CCAGTTTCTCTGCTAATGGTGAGATAGCAGGAAATCTTTTAGGCTCTCATTATCTTGTCAATTTGTGGCTGCTCATCAAATATGTGCTATATGTATGTTGGAAGATACTGCTGACCTTCCCTGGAAAGAAAGTTTGCTTGTATTGTTTGGACACTATGAGGTTGGATTTTCCCTGAATCAGCTTTGTTCTCTTCCTCATGCCGGTTTGAAAACACATGTCTGCCTGGTCAGGCAGGTGTACACCTGGTCAGACCACTCTTTCTTCTGCTTGGACCCTGAGGTCTATTAAGAAAGCCCATTTAAGGGGTCTATTAAAGGTCTATTAAGAAAACCCATTAAGAAAATCCTGGCTGAGGTGACAGATTTTGATGGATTTCATAGTGGCCCAAACAGCCTATGTTCTTTGTGTAAGAATACTAGACCCAGTGGCACATCATTTCCATGAGCTGTCCATTGTGGGTTGAATTGTGCCTGCTAGAATATTTGTTAAAATCCTAGCCCTTGGTACTTATGAATATAGCCTTATTGGGGCATAGAATCTTTGCGGATGTAATGAAGTTAAGATTGGCTCATACTGACTTAGGGTGGGGCTCTAAGTCCAAAGTCTGGTGTCGTATAAGGAGAGAGAGATTTGAAAACCCACAGAGGGAAGATAACCAGGTGAAGGCAGAGACAGCAACTGGAGAAATGCAACTACAAGTCAAAGGATGCAAGGATTGTTGGGGGCCACCAGAACCTAGGAAGAGGCAAGGAACGATTCTTCTCCAGAATCTTCAGAGGGACCAGAGCCCTGCTGATGCCCAGATTTGGATTTCTGGCCTCAAGAACTATGGGAGAATAAATTCTTATGGTTTTAACGCACTAAGTTTGTGGTAATTTGTTTTGACAGCCACAGGAAACTGACGTACTGGCTAAGAGCTTAAATAAAATATAGCCGTGTGCTACATAACAATGCTTCAGTCATAAATATCCCAGTGATCTCATAAGATTATAGTGGAGCTAAAAAGTTCCTATTGCCAGGGACTCTGTAGCCACTGTAACGTCATGGTAGCACAGACATTATTGATGTGTTTATGATGACACTGATTAAACAAACCTATTGTACTACCAATGTACAAAAGTATAACAGGTATAATCATGTACAGTAAATGCTTGATAATAATAATGCATGATTGTGTTACTGGTTTATGTAGGCACCATGCTATACGTTTTATGGTTATTTTGGAGTATACTTCTTATAATAAAAGGTTGACTACGGTATGCCATGTTATGCTGGTGACAGTCTCACATATTTTGGGTTTACCAACTCTTTTGAGGCCATGTTGAATGAGTGACTTGTAACATCTAGGTTTGTGTAAATGCAGAACAAATCTTTGTCATCAAGTAAAATATGGCTCTACAAAGGGAGGCTCTGGTTAGAATCGATTACTGACTTGCCCTGAAGGGCCCTGGTACTAATCCCATCATACGATTGTCTTAAGTATTAATTCCCGCACTGTTACACGCCTAGACCAATAGCTCCTTATTTGACTTCATCTCCCATTCTTCTGACTCATAAATCCTTCCTCTGTATTTTCAACCTCTTTATAAATGTGGCCCACAAGGTTTTGCTCTGAGCGAACCCTTGGTCCTTCCTGGGGATAGAGAGGACATTTCTCAACTGAGCCGGGGCCCGATGGTGGGGTAGGTGTCCTCTCCGCTCATCACGGCCACTCCTAGAGTTTATTCCTCCTTAACCCTCTGCTTCTTGTTGCCCCTACTCCAGCCCCCATCTTTGAGGCACAGGCCATCAGAATACCCAGACACCTGCCATCCTGTAGTCATCTATATCCTGCAGTTATTCCTCCTTTTCAGTGAAGCTTGGGGCTCTCCTTGCTCACTGGCATTCTGCATCACCACTCCCCTAATTCTCGCCTAATCCTAGTTGCACTTTAAGTTTTCTGGGACTAAGGCTGGGGATATAGCTCAGTGGTAGAGCTTAGCATGCTTGATCTCGAGTTTGATCTCAGAGAAAATTATCTGGGGGCATCTCTTCTCTCTACCTCCCCCTGTTCCCAAGCAATTGACCCTGAATATATATATATATATATATATATTTTTTTTTTTTTTTTAAGAGCTCCCAGCTCATTCCAGTATGTGGCCAAGTTTGAGGACCACTGGTATGGATGATGTATTTATTTGGCCTCTTGCATCCTTAAGCTTCTTAGTGTTAATAACCCCTTCTCCCATCTCCCATCTTCTCCCACCGTCATACTCCATTGATGGCCAGTACTTATACAATGAGTTTTGGTTCAGTGAGGTCACTATAATGCCTCTAAGTGATGATCTTGAAAGGATATACCTATGAGACTCAAAAGATAGGCACTGGGGAGCTTATCAGTCATTGCATTTCCTTTTATGCAAGAGTTTAGGATGTGAAGACCACCCTAATAGCTTCCTCAATTTACCCAAGATGTCTGAATCAAAGAAAATACAAGCTTTTAAATATATGGATGCATGTTTGTTGCACATTTTCCCAATGTGTCTCTTTTTAACTAAGGGAAATATGTGGAAATGAAATTATATTGTTGTCGTAGGATCAGGGTCACAAATTCCCCATAAACTAAGGCCCAATATCGTTTACAATAACCTGAATAGTGGAAGTGTTCTAAGAACATGTACAATAGTCACAGATAACATGCACCTCAGCTTTTAAATTCCCTACTATTCCTTTATTCATTGATCTGTCTTCTCATCCCACTTTCTGAAATTAATTTGGATTTGTCTCTTGACCTTTCATAGCATTTACTGCTGATATTGTATATTTGGCATTTATTTACATCCTGTTGTTATGAATTTCTATTTATATCCCTCATTTCATCTAGTTGAGTAGTTAGTAACAAGATAAAGGGTATTTAACTATTGCAAGACAAGATGGCTAACGCAGGCCATATTTAACTGTTTTTTTTGCATAAATTTAAGGAAGTACTTAGATTTGTTAGAATATGTGTCTTACCTAATTATGGTAAATTGTATTCAGCAAGATCTGCTATTATTCACAACAAAATATTGTGGATTTCTGAGATCTGGAAGTCCCAAGTTCTATTGTGTGGCCCTAGGCAATCATTTATCTTCTTTGACTCTTCAATTATTTCTGTATAAAATGATGTAATGAATTAGAGAGCAATGCTATGGTATGATATTTGTATCCCTGTAATTTATATTTTGAAATCCTAACACCCAGGGTGATGATATTAGGAGATAGGGACCTTTGGGAGATCATCAGGTCGTGAAGATGGAGTCCTTACGAATGAGATTAGTGCCCTTACAGAAGAGGCTGGAAGGAGCAGTCTTGACCCTTCTACTATGTGAGGGTTCAGTGAAAACACAATGAACTATGAAGGAAGTGGCCCTCACAGCACACCAGATGTGCTAGTGCCATGCTGTTGGACTACCTAGTCTCTAGAAGTGTAAGAAATAAATTTCTGTTGTTTATAAGCCAGCCAGTTTAGGCTTATTTTGCCAGTCTAGGCTAGTTTATTTTGTTATAATAAACTGTATAGACTAATGACAAAATCCTTTCAGGATAAAGAAGTTCAGGACTCTACTTTGGATTATATTTCTAGCTAAAAGTAAAAGTACATTCCTTTTTAAAGATATTTTAGAACAATTCTATAGTTTAGAAAATTTATTGAAATCAGCCTTCTTCCCTACTTAAGTTTGAAATTCAGAGCTTCCTCTATCTAGTTAAGACATACACATGTACAATATATAACTTCGATTCATACATGTCTCTACTTGATACATAGCCCTTATGGTGGATTAAAATCATGAATTTTCTAACTTATCCTAATTAAAATATTGTTATTCATACAATTAAGGTAAGCTAGTATGCAAATATATCCATATACGTCTCTTAATTTTAATTAAAAAAATGTAGCTGGGAAGTACATAGTGACCACTTCTGTGTTTTAAATACATAAAATGTATTGGTTATTTGGTCATTAGTTAATAAGAGTTTTATTTTCCAATTTCTGGCTCAGTGGTTTAAATAGAGAAATCGGCTAGTCAATTCTAAAGCCTTGTTTTTTTTTTTTTTTTTTTTTTGGTTTTTCTCCGGTACCGGGAACCGAACTCACGACCTTGCGCTTGCTAGGCATGCGCTTTGCTGCTGAGCTAAATCCCCAGCCCCTCTAAAGCCTTTTTTCCTTTCCTCAATCAGCGTTTTCCCAAATGATTTCTGAGGCAGCCCTGGCAGCACTGTCTGTGGCAGCATGAGCGCTATCTGTCGGCAGCATGTCTGTGTGGGCCTGTGCTCTCTCTGGCTTCAGTACAGGTCATGAAAAGACATGAAGAGGTGACCTACCTCTGACAACAATCCTGAGGGAGGAGGGGCAGGCGGTGTGAGATCTGGGCTAGATGAGTGTTTTACATTCTCTTTGGCATGGCTTGTCTGTTCCAGATAAGCAGAAGAACATCTTCAGAATTCTTGAGTTTGTTTGGAACTGAGAGGAAAAACCCGATATCCAATTAAGATTCAGCAGAGGGATCAGAAGTAAGAGTTCAGGCAAGTTACCACTTGCAGTAGTTTCTACACAACAGAAACACCTTCATAGCTTCTTCTGATTACGTAAATAGGTTTGCTTTTAAAAAATTGAAATACACTAAAAAGTATAGAGAGTAAAATAAAAGGCATCTGTAATCCCTCTAATTTTAAAATAGCAAATTAACATTTCTGTGTACTTATATATATATTTCTCTTTACGCATACACACCACTCATGAAGTGACAATTTTATAGGAATAGGACGCAATAAAAAAGCCTTTTAAAAAAGTTACTTCTACATTTACCAGTACTTCCTTTAACACTGTCTCTTTTAAAAAGAAAGTATTATTAACTGCCAGGTATGTATCTTTTATCTACTTTCATCTATATAAATACATCCATGCTTATGTATAATTTTTACATATAATTATGTACATATATTATGGCATATGGGCTAATATGTTTTTTATCCAATAATATGAGCTAGAAAATTTTCTACATCAAGATATAACTCTAGTTTATTATTTGTTATTAGCCCAATGTTTCACAACATACATATCCCATAATATATTCAACTACTTCTCTATTCATGAACAAAACTTTTTTCAGTTTTTGACATCCTAAGCTCAAAAATTTTTAGTGAACTAACATCCATAATGCTGAGTCCCTAAGTTATATGTTTTTAATTTCTGATCCTGATACTGTTTTCTCAGCTACTAATTTACTATCATCATTTTTTAGTAAGTCAATATAATATATTTGTGTTCTCCTTGGAATTTTCAATTATTAAAAAAGGGGTATGTGTGGCTTCTTTTTGTAATTGCAAGTAGTGTCCTCTTTTAAGTAGACCTTCTCAATATGGCAGTCAGATCATGTTTCCAGCCTTTGGAGCTACACACTAAATCATTCCGTCAGGAAACTGTTACTGAAACGGACAGGTTCTGTGTGGCTGACGTGGCATCACAGTTTACAGTGTCTGCCAGCTGTGAGTAACAGCAGGCTGCCTTGGTGGGATGTAGCAGAAGCAGCAACAGCAACTCCTGATTTAGGGGCAAAAGATGTAAGTACTTATTTTCACCATTAACCAATTAATCCAAAGCAGCTCCAAACTCAAGAATGCTAAGAGAGAATAAATTCCCACTAGAGACCTTTCTAGCCGATTCATTTGAGAAGCATGTGGTCTTAACCAGAGGAGAAAGGCATTAAGCCAGCACATAGTTTCAGGAAAATGAAGAACTTACAAGGTCTTGTTCAAAATAAAACTAAATTCAACTCTGGCTAATGTAGCTTTCAAATCCTAGCTCTGCAGAGTGCCTGCATATCCTGGCAGGGGCTATCCCCTGTGTGCTGGAATGCATGGCTAACGTGCATGTGATTTCTACTGACACAAAAATTTAGGCAGGTTTGATTATGGTAAGATGAAAGGATGCTTAGCAATTACAGTGTTTGGAAGAGAGAGCCTGGTAAATAGTTTAAGGAGGATTCAAGCTGGTTAAAGCTGACTTAGAGGCAATGTGAAAACTTCTGTTCTCAAGCTCTATAGATGACGAGGGGTGTGGTGCTTTGCCAGCTAGATGAGAAATAAAACCCTGGCACAGCTCCTTTTAGCAAGAGGTGGCTCTATGACTGCTGTTCCCAAAGGCTTCCACTTGGGAAGTCATGTCCAGAGTTCCTGGTATTTTCAGAGTTCATAAACTGTGTGTTTATGGGTTGGTAATGATTTTTCTTTCATTGAGATTCTCTACTGTGATGTTCAGGTCTGCACGAAACCTTACAAGTAACCACTAGTGATCTATCCTCAGTGCAGTTAAATTATTGACCAGCAGATATTTTTGATCACCACCTCCGTGCTGGGGATACCTAGATGAGCAAGATGGAAGATGCTGATGGCCCTGTGGAGTTTGCCACACAGCAGGAAAAACAGATGTTATGAGAGGAGGGATGAACACGAGGCTGAGAGACTGGAGACCTGGATTTGGATTCTGGCGCTGATCCCAATGAACCATATGGCACTCTGAGCTTCAGCTTATGTGCTATAAAATGAGCACATTGGGATGGATAAGATCTTCAGTAATTGATTCCTCACCTCATGTGAGCTTTCCTCTTGCTCTACAGCTTCCCTAATGGGCACTGGATTTTCTTCACATCTGTTTTGGGGATGGGCTCTCTCCTTATGCAATGGGTCTCACCTGTCACCAAAGAGGACCCATCAGACTGTGATATTCTGAAATTAGAAGAAATCCCTCTAGGTGGGCCCCCTGTAATATGATTTTTTTAGGAGGAAAGGTTGCTTCCAAGAAAGATGTCTTAAAGATAGTGATTCCATATCCATGCATCTTAAACATTTGGGCTTCTGTTTTTCAAATGGTTAGTGGTCAGAACAGGTATCTTCACTGCTGCTGATCTTTGAAAGTTAAAGACACAAAAACTGGATACTAAGGAAAATGAAGTTGTTTAAAATAAGGGTGACCAACAGGCTTAAGTTCAAAAGAAATCTGAATCAAAAAATAAGGCAGGTTGTGGTTTCAAATAGAATAGAGGATACCCACCCTTAGTGACTGTGTGTGCACCTTAACTTCCTGGGACCCATCACCATTACTCAGTCATTTTTGACTTTGGAAATTGTGTCTCATAGCATGTTTTAATGGGAAAATAGATACAGTAGATTTAACATAATAATCATGAGTACTTTTCTCCCATCAACCTTGTCTCACTTTCCAAATTAACTATATGGGCATTCATATATCATTTGCTACTTCCTTCTTTCCCAAAGGCAGAAGTGTTCCTCCTGACCTGGGACAGATCCTCTCTCTCTCTTCTGGTACTGAGGGTTGTTCCGCTGAGCTACATTGCATGCCCTTTTCATTTTTGTAAAATTGTGAGACAGGATCTTACTAGGTTGCTCTGTGGCTTGAGCAGGGTTCAAACTGGAAATTCCTCTGCCTCAGCCTCCTGAAGTGCTGGGATTACAGGCATGTGCCACCATCCCACCTGATTCGGGTCTCTTAGATCATCCATCGCTATCAGCCACCTCAGAGAGCACCACACTCATCACTCAGTTCTCTTATTCCTCCTGAATCTTCAGCTTCTTCTTTATATTGTTTTTTCCATCTTAAGTAAAAATATGTTCAACTTTTTTCCCATTTTATACCGACCAGCAGTCCAGCCAATGAATAAACACAATTCCACCTCACTGTCCTCTTCTTTCCCCCACCTTTCCTCAAACCCTATGGAATTCGTGGTCACTTCAATTCTGATAGATTTCATCTCTTATTGTATCTCTCCTTGCCTCTTTTTCTTGACACTCCCTCCTGCCTGGTGGTCTTGGTGCTATTCTGGCTCTGCCTTCTGTCTTCACTGACTTCTCTTTCTCCCCTTTTGCTTTAAACTGTTGCTTTCTTGTTTTGAATCCTGTGCTCATCCCTGAAAATCTCACTCATAGCCATAATTTTAATGATAAAGTGTATGCCGATAATGCTCAATCAAGGCACATGCAAATCTTCGGGAAAGAAGCAGTGGATAAACAGATGAGCACTGCCCACTGTGAATGAGTGTTATCTCAAACTTATCCTGGGGATCCTCACTCATAGTCACTGCCTCAGGCATCTGCAGTACATTGTCCTGCAGGAATCTCAATCACCACAGCCCCATGAACTGATCTTTCTTCATAAAATCTGCTTCTCCCGGTGAAATGAATTCCAGTCTTGATCAGAGCCATCACCCTCTGTAGTCACCAACCTGACTGTGTAAATCCAAATAAACTGTACATCCTATTTATTTTGTCTCTTTGCCATCTTTTGAATCAGATACCCACAGCCTGCTCATCCTTCCGGTGCTTTAGTTTGGCCTGCATTGACTTAAGGTGCACAATGGCATCTGGCTCCTAAGGCTCACCCTGCCTCCACCCTGGCACTCCTAAAGCCTTCTCTGTACTGTGACTTGGGTGATTTCCTAGAATGCCACTGGATGATGTTATTTACCTCCTTTCAATCTCTCCTGGTCTTTAAGCATCCAAAGCCTCCATATTGCAGGCCCAGCTTGGCTCTCTGGCTTTTCCCACATCCCTGAATGGGCACTACTCTCCAGCCTGCCTGAGCATGGTGGGTCACCAGAACCCAGCCAGCTGACCCTCTCCTCCATACTTGGGTCTTACAGGTCCCTCTTATGGAGCTCCCCTTCCCCCCCTCCCAAATCGCCCAATTCAATTATAATTATCCAACAGGGCTCAAGGAGTGCTTTCTTCCCCAGGAAGCCAAGCTGGCTACCCTGCCTGGCATACATACTATTCTATGTAACCTCCACCCTGACACTCACCACCCTTAATTAAAGACATTAGCTTACTTTATTTTCCTCTTTAGTTGATGGTGAAAACATATGAAATATAATGATATTTTTATTTCTGTGTTCTTAGTGCTTACAGCAGGCATATAATGGCTAATTAATCAACTTTTATTGAGTGAATAAATGGGGGACAGATAGCCACCTGCAGCTCCAGGGTGACATTCTGTTTTCTCGTTCATCCCCATGGGAAGCATTCTTTTCCCTCTGTAATTCAAGTGTAAGTTGCAGGCACATGCTTCTTAGACATGTCTCTGGATTGCTGAATTAATCACCATGGTCAGGGGGATGCAAGAATTACTAAACAGGTCTGAATTTTATACCTATTTGTTATGGTTTCTGTCTAGATGTCTCCCCAAAGCCTCATGCAGTCGTGAGGCAGGCTTCTAGAGTTTATGATTGATCCATGATCCAATGCTGGTATTATGGTTGTGAGTGTCACAATTGCCCTGGGGCGGGTAACTTGCATACAGCGTAAGGGAGGGAAAGAGGTTGTTTGTTGCTGCTCCTCTCTTATGCTCTTGCTGCTTTTGCTGTCTTCTGCTGCCATGAACTGTTACCCTGGGCCATGTGCTTTGGAGCCAGCTGATTGTGGACTGAAACCTCTACAAACTGTGAGCTAGATAAACCTTTCCTTCCTTAATTTTGGGTGTCTGGTATTTTATCTCAGCAACGAGAGAAAGGTAACGAAGACACTATCCTTAGAGCAAGGGATAGGTGGGTCCCTCACAGGATGTGGAGGGGGCAGGAAAGTTCACCAAAGGAAAATGGGTGATTTATTGCCCAAAGCTAGAGGTTGGATACTGGACAGGCAGAAATTGCAGATACTCACCACATGTGTGTATAAACAGCCCAGGTACTGGGGAGAGCTGGTGTGTACACACCTCTCTCTGGGGCCAGGCAAGGCTGCCACGATGGTCTCCTCAACCTCAACTTCGGTTCTCAGCTCTCCTCCTTGTGTTCTAGGCTCAAACCACTGAACTTTAATCCATGGATGAGGCTGTGAATGCAGCAGGCCTTCCCTCACTTTTTATTTTGGTTCCAAGACTTAAACTCAGGACCTCGCACTTGCCAGGAAAGTGCTGCACCACTGAGCTAAATCTCCGGCCCTTTCCCTCGCTTTTGATCTGTCGTTGTACCCATTATTCTGTCCTAGGGCACATTCTCTCCGCTCTCCCTCCCCTCTGCCAGAACAGTGCACTCTATCCTTTGAGACTCTATCCTCTATCCTTTGTGCTGCGAAACCTTCTCTGCTCAGGATTGACATCTGCGAGATGCATTTCATCTGCTTCTTATGGTCATCCTCGATGGGTACATCCTGTTGGAATTACCTGTTACCTTGTCTGTGTTCCATTAGGCAGTAAAACTCCTAGAAGATAAGGAATAAATTCATTTTGTTCATTTTGCGTGGCCTAAACTTCACACTTAAAATGATGCTTAGCACATGGCCGGTACTTAATAAATAAACAGTGATTAAAACACTCATTTTCCCCACCTGTTTCTTGGTCATTAAATAGCATAAACCCTTTTGGGTGCCTTTCCTGTAGTTTGGGGTTTAGCATCTTCTTTATAGGAGCTATGGAGAATCTGCTTATATGGGAGAAAAATAATTTTATTGCAGTGAATAAATGGATTAATATGTGTTTGAAATATTATTTATTGAATGAAAGAAATACTTTTCTATTGTCCAAGGGGTGAGGCTATATCCCGGTTGGATTCAGT